GTCCACAGTTCAGTGTTAAAAGAGGCCTAGCATCGCCGGGTAGTTAAGGCGCTAAACTCGCAATCAGCGGGTCGCGTGTTCGATTCTCCATCCCTTTTCAGGCGTTATAACGTGACTATCAATCCAACTATTCGTTGGTAAAAGAGTATCCCAAAAGATGGCAGTGGGTGGTGTTGACTAGCTGCTTTCCCTCTAGTCTAACATCGCTAAATTAGGGACGCCTAGCGCAAATAGTCCTCGGATGGCTTTGCGAGATATTCCAAACCATCCAGTTTTAAAAGTAAACTTTATTACATTTATTAGCAAGGAAATTCCGTACGTTTATTTGTTGCTAGGTGTATTTACCATAGTCTTCGAATTTCTATTAGGCCTACAATTACAAGAAAATGTAATCCATGACAATCGTTACTGAAGAAGTAAACTAATTTCTTATTGTTACGAGAACTGGATTTCGCAGTGTTTTTACCGTATAATCCATAGGAAAAAAAAACGTTACATCCACTTTGTGTACTTTAAGAATGTTTTAGAAAGCTGCTTTATTTTACCTTATTTTTAAATAGTGTTTGGTAATGTTTCACAAAGCTATGGAACTTTAGTCTAGGTAATGCTTTGAAATGGTGTGTAGTTCTATCCTAATTATCTATATCTTTACATAATCTTCTACAAAGCTGAAATAAGTACTTTTAACTTTATGATGTTAAACAAACACTTTGGTAATTTAACACAAAAATACAATACCTTTTATCCTAAGCGCATTCAAAGCTGGACCTTTCTTCTTCAGGGGAAAACCGGAAATTAAGCTTCGCACACAGCAAGTTAGCTTAAAGTTGATTATCTCAGTGGGTAAGATAAGCAGGTTATCTAAACACAAGACGATATTCCTCTGTTTATTTCATAACTTTTAGTAACATAACTAAGTTAGAGATACTTGATAACCGTTTAATATTATCTAATTTTGAACACAAGCAGTGTAAGAAATGACTACACATCAGATATTAGCATCTAACAGCAACAAACACTTCATGATTAGGGTAATGACATTAACCTACGAACATGTTGTGCTATGTATTTTTACCTTTATATAAAGCTTTATCAATGTTCTACAGTTGTACTATGTATTTTTACCTTTATATAAAGCTTTATCAATGTTCTACAGTTGTACTATGTATTTTTACCTTTAGATAAAGCTTTATCACTGTTCTACATGTATTATTACCTTTAGATAAAGCTTTATCAATGTTCTACAGTTGTACTACGTATTTTTACCTTTATATAAGGCTTTATCAATGTTCTACAGTTGTACTATGTATTTTTACCTTTAGATAAAGCTTTATCAATGTTCTGCAGTTGTACTATGTATTTTTACCTTTAGATAAAGCTTTATCAACGTTCTACAGTTGTGCTATGTATTTTTACCTTTATATAAAGCTTTATCAATGTTCTACAGTTGTGCTCTGTATTTTTATTTTTAGATAAAACTTAACCTACGTTCTAGAGCTGTGCTGCAGATCTTGATTTTCTCTTATTTTTTAGCAATGTCCCAAAGATTATTTTACAATGCTTCTTCGCCTTTAGGCATTTCTTTATCAATTTATTGTAACATTTTGCATTACCTCTTTGTCTTTGCTACTAATAGAACTGTTTTATAAACTTCTGATTTTTTTTTCTATTGTTCAATAATTCACTTGTCGTGCGGAGATTCCGTTGTTACGTATTCCGCCTTCCAGGTTTTATTTTTTTATTTTTTGTTTCTGTTCAGTACATTCTTGATTTAGTATTCACAGAGAATAGCTGAGCTCTAACGTTTATTCTTCTTTTGTTACACTGAATATTCATTGGATTATCCCTCTACTGGGATCTGTGCTTTTGTTCAATGATGACTTCCTTCATATGTATATCAAACTGGCAGGCATCTAACTCTAAAAAAAATACTTTTGTCAGTCCTTTTCATGTTGCACAGATAAAGGGCTGTAGAGAGACACTACGAATAGATTCTCAATATAATGAAATGTATGACATTTTTCTTTTTACAGTTCTTGGACAGAAGTGACATCATGAATTCGTATTTTTACTTTTATACGACTTAAGTCCGAAATACATGAAAAATTGCACATTTCAATAAGTGCGAATATTAGTTTTAGGCCTTGATGTTACAGTTTTCATTTCTCTTCTTCTCATTCCATACATAGAAATTAATCGATGATTTATTTTACCAAAAGTGTTACTAAGTAGTACTGCCTTTAAAAACGAGTTACCTGAAAACTGTAAAAAATAAGTATTACAAACTGAGATATTCAACTAAAATAAGTACTAGAAACCGAAACATCCAACTAAAATAAGTACTACAAACTGAGATATCCAACTAAAATAAGTACTACAAACTGAGATATTCAACTAAAATAAGTACTAGAAACTGAGATATCCAACTAAAATAAGTACTACAAACTGAGATATCAAACTAAAATAAGTATTACAAACTGAGATATTCAACTAAAATAAGTACTAGAAACTGAGATATTCAACTAAAATAAGTACTACAAACTGAGATATTCAACTAAAATAAGTACTACAAACTTAGATATCAAACTAAAATAAGTACTAGAAACTTAGATATTCAACTAAAATAAGCACTACAAACTGAGATATCAAACTAAAATAAGTACTACAAACTGAGATATTCAACTAAAATAAGTACTACAAACTGAGATATTCAACTGAAATAAGTACTACAAACTGAGATATCAAACTAAAATAAGTATTACAGACTGAGATATTCAACTAAAATAAGTATTACAAACTGAAATATTCAACTAAAGTAAGTATTAAAAACTGACATATCCAACTAAAATAAGTACTACAAACTGAGATATCAAACTAAAATAAGTATTACAGACTGAGATATTCAACTAAAACAAGTATTACAAACTGAAATATTCAACTAAAATAAGTATTAAAAACTGACATATTCAACTAAAATAAGTATTACAAACTGAGATATCAAACTAAAATAAGTACTACAAACTGAGATATTCAACTAAAATTAATGATATTTACCAAACAACTCTGACTTCTCTTCTCACGAGAAATGTGATTTTTAGTTCGATATGCATAATACCAGGATAGGCAACAATCTATAAGATAGTAATTTGTTTTGTTCGGGTGCTGTTAAACCTCTTAAATATTAGCAATATTTAAAACAACTAGTATAGACCAACGTGTTACTGGTCATATGGAAGGGTATAACAAGGTTAGCACACATATTCATATTACATCAAAATAGTTTATATTTTTTGGTAGACATCCGTTCGTAGATGATTGTCATTATCCTAATGAAATAAAACACCTTTATCTCAGTTATGTTACGTTACTAAGAGTAACGAAATAAACATAAGAATATTTTCTCGTGTTTAGATAACCTGCTTATCTTACACGCTGAATTAATCAACGTTAAGCTAACTCGGTGTGCGCGAAGTTTAATTAATTAGTAAGGATACGTGAACCTAGATAGCTGAAAGATCTGTTATGAAATAAACAAGAACACCGAAGAACTTTTCGTTATTAGATTATAACATCAAGAAATAAATTTTCAATCCAATTTCTTCGGTAGGGAATGTTTTTCTTATCTTCATTTCTTTAATAATCCCCTGTTTGAAACCAAGTACTTCTATAGCAAGGTAAGCTAAGCGAAAAACTAAAAGCGACATTAAAAATTTTTGTAACTGGTAGCAGGTTCTAAATTATTATAAATGGTAGCAGGTTGTAAATTGCTGTAACTAGCAGCAGACTTTATATGTCTTTTTACACTTTGATAGTAAATACTGTAATAAGCATGCATCCCCTCTAGTAGTTCATCTAGTTCCTTTTTTAATTTAGATATAAAACGGTTATCTCTATTTTGTTTCAGTTATTAATTTGAATTACAAATGAAGTTTTAGAAGGTGCTATGATAGCCATTAATTGTTAAGAACCTGCTACTAGCAACAACAGTTTACAACCTGCTACCAGTTACAAAAATTTAGAACCTGCTACTAGCTACAACAGTTTACAACCTACTACTATTTACAACAATTTAGAACCTGCTACTAGTTACAAAAATCTAGAACCTACTACTAGCTACAACAGTTAGAACCTGCTACTACTTAGAACAATTTAGAATCTTCTACTAGTTACAACAATTTCGAACATGCTATTAGTTACAACAGCTTAGAACCTGCTATTAGTTTTAACAATTTAGAACCGGCTACCAGTCACAACAGTTTAGAACCTTCTACTAATTACAACAATTTAGAACCTGATAATAGTTACAACAATTTAAAACCCGCTGCTACTCACAGCAATTTAGGACTTGCTATTAGTTAAAACAACTTATAATCTGTTACTAGGTACAACAATTAGAACTTGCTACTAGTTACAACAGCTAGAACCTGCTACTACTTAGAACAATTTAGAATTTTCTACTAGTTACAACAATTTAGAACTCGTTACTAGGTGCAAAAATTTAGAACCTCCTACCAGTTAAAATAATTTACAACCTGTTACAAGGTGCAACAATTTAGAAACTGCTACTAAGTATAACAATTTAGAACCTGCTACTAGTTACCAAAATGTATAACCTGCTACTACTTACAAAAATTTAGAACCTTCTACTAGTTAAAACAATTTAGAACCTATTACTAGGTAAAACAATTTACAACCTATTACTAGGTACAACAATTTACAACCTGTTACTAGGTGCAACAATTTAGAAACTGCTAGTAGGTATAACAATTTATAGCCTGCTACTAGTGACAACAATTTAGAACCTTCTACTGAGTTGTAAAAGTGTGTATATATTGTAATCTCCAGTAAATTTGGTAAAATTCAGATTTGTGAAAGTGTTTGTATACCAAAAGCTCTATCACATCTGATTATATTCAATATTAGGAAAGCGTGTATGTACTGTAATCTCCATCAGTTCTGATAAGTTTGTGATAGTGTTTGTGTTACATTATTCTTATCAGATCCATGTCTAGGAGTAGAATGTCCTTCCAACCAAGTTTGCCAACTTGACGACAACCGAAATGCTATATGTCGGTGTAATGCTATTTGCTCTCGTGACTTCCGGCCTGTGTGTGGATCTGATGGGAAAACTTACACTAATGAATGTATTCTCCGCGTGGAGGCGTGCAAGTCGCGAAGGAGTCTGAGGACTATTTATATGGACAAATGCAGTGAAGGTATGAAACGAAAGTGAGGAAAAATGAGCAATATCTCTTCTTACTTTGGTATCGAACAACTGTTTTATACTTGTATCTGTATTTGTAGATTCAACTAACCTTTACTTAAATCCCTTTGTTTTCACTTCTTGTTAGTTTTAAAATCTAAAAACTCAATAAATTTAGTTCTATGATTTGGAAATCGTAATTTACAGTTAAAAGCAGTTAGTATTCGATATCATATATCATTTACTTGGTAAGTTATAGGATCTAAGTCTTATAGCTGAAACTATCATTTCAAATATGCCATTGATGATATTGACGGGAGTAGGTTTAAGGTCAACAGATAAAATAATTTGGGTTCAGGGTAGATTTAAAGTCAAAAAATAAAAATAATTTAGGTTCATTGTACGTCTAAAGTCAATAACTAAAGGTAATTTGGGTTCAGTGTAGGTTTAAAGTCAATAAATTAAAGTAATTTGGGTTCAGTGTAGGTTTATAGTTTAGAAATAAAAGTAATTTGGGTTCAGTTTAGGTTTACAGTCCAGAAACGAAAGTAATTTGGATTCGGTGTAGGTTTACACTCAAGAAAGAAAATTAATTTTGGTTCAGTGTAGGTTTAAAGTCAATAAATGAAAGTAATTTAGGTTCAATGTGGGTTTAAAGTCAGTAAATAACAATAATGTGAGCTCGGTGTAGGTTTAAAGTTAATTAACACATATAAACAAATTTGGGTTCAGTGCAAGTTTTAAGCCAAGATGTAAAAGAAATATCGGTTAAGTGTAGGCTCAGAACCAGCTGTTAACAGTAATTATTGAATCCAGTGCAACTTGTCCTCTAGTGAACTAACGTCCTAGCTCAAATGTAGCATACCGTCTGTTGTATCAAGGTGCAAATCCGTGCGAAAGTGTTCAGTGCGGTCCTGGTCAGGAATGTGACATAGACAGGTATGGTATCGCCAGCTGCAAGTGTCCAGCTAGCTGTGAGCCCGTCATGAGGCCTGTGTGTGGTACAGACGAGAAAACCTACGACAGCGAGTGCGAGCTTCGAAGAGAAGCTTGTGTTCAGAAGAAAGACATAGCCGTAGCTTACAGAGGAACTTGTGGTAAGTGAAATCTGATATACAATCAAAAAATCATGTAAATATTGCAAAAAAGACCCTCAAAATCTTAATGGAACTAAAAAAAAAACCACCAGAAATTGACGCTGACCATTTGTCAGGAAGTACGTGTTGACAGTTAATATTTGAATTAATTTAGGCACATGTAGCTAAAGATCTAAATATATTTGTTGTTGTGTAGATTTGTGCTTAACAACAAAGAAACAAAACTGTTATGTACCTTGAGTTTTGTTAATACCTATAGATATGTGTTGTAAGTGGTTATGTACCCTAAGGTTTGTCAATACTTACATATATGTGTTGCATGTGATTATGTACCCTGAGTTTTGTTAATACTTACAGATATGTGTTATAAGTGGTTATGGACCCTAAGGTTTATCAATACTTACATATATGTGTTGCATGTGATTATGTACCCTGAGTTTTGTTAATACTTACAGATATGTGTTATAAGTGGTTATGTACCCTAAGGTTTGTCAATACTTACATATATGTGTTGCATATGATTATGTACCCTGAGTTTTGTGAATACTTACATATATGTGTTGCATGTGATTATGTACCCTAAGTTATGTTAAACTTACAGACATGTATTTTATAAGTGGTTATATACCCTTAATCATGAATAAAATTATCACTGTTTCTGTTGGTGTCGTGTTCTCAGTTTCTCTTTTGTTTCTTGTTGCTATGGAAACTTCAACTTCACAATAAGTGTTATAAAAGTTAATTCTGTGAAAAATGAAGGTAGAAAACGTTGACTAGTTAGGTCTTAATGTGTTCCAGATTATAAAGGGCCTTGCCGTGAGTTTGCATGTCGACACGGGTCTATGTGTTTTATCAGGGACGGTATCCCTCTGTGTGAATGTCCCACGTGTACTGAAGAGTTTCGGCCAGTGTGCGGCAGTGATGGAATTCTCTACAATAACCCTTGTAAACTGAAGAAAGAGTCCTGCGAGAAACAAATGGAAATCAGCGTGGCTTTTGAAGGACAGTGTGGTAAGTAATAAACGTTATTTCTAGAAAATAGCCACTGCCTGTACTTTTCTTGTGACGTTTCACAATGTAATAAAATGATTAGAGTGGTTCCAGGCCAAGCAGTTATAATAAAGTGCTTCCTTATTATTTCTTCAGACATATATTTTGGATCCTTCATACATGTACTTTTTCAGTACCTTCCTCATACTATTAGTATGGTCCTCCTAATAACGATATGATCCGTATGTACGAAGGGTGTCAGAAAAGTTCGTGGCCCGACCTATAACGAAAACGAAACACTGGTTCAACTATGATTTATTTTTCAATATATTATCCTCCGTAGTCCATACACGTGCACCAACGTGTTCTAAGGCTTTTAGGCCCTTTCAAGATAACCTTTCTTTTTCGTCCTGAATCCATTACTGGACGGTATACACGAGATCATCATTACTCCAAAATCTTCGATCTTTCAGAAAGATTTTAAGGTTAGGGAAGATATAAAAAGCCACAGCTATGTCCTATTAATAAGTAGGTGCCTCAGTAATTCAAAGTCAGCATTATGGATAGCATTCAAAGCAACACGCAATTTTTAAGCTGGGACAATGTCCTGGTGGAAGAGTACACTTTTTTTAAGCAATCTTCATTTCTTTGATTTGTTGATGCATATTGTATATTAAGGATGCCTAGTACTAGCCTATAATGGTTTGACCCCTTTCCAAGTAATCATCTAGTAAAACGACCTTGGCATCCAAAAAAACTAATGCCATGACCATTTCAGTAGAAGGTTGTGATTTGAATTTTTTTGGGGTAGGTGACCATGGATGTTTACTTTCCTTCATGCCCAAACTGTCCCTCAAAATACTTGCTACAGTACTTTTACCGATTCCCAGTTCCTCTGCTAACTTCCTAATGGTAATTCTTCTATCATATATAACCAAATCATGAACTGTATCTACAGTTTCTGTTGTGGTCGAGGTCAAGGGCCGACCTATCCTCAGATCACCTTCACATGATTGTCTACCGTGGTCAAGGTCAAGGGCCGACCTAACCTCAGATCACTTTCACATGATCGTCTATCTTGGTCGAGGTCAAGGGCCGACCTGACCTCGGGTCACCTTCAAGTGATTGTCCATCATGGTCGAGGTCAAGGGCCGACCTGATCTCGCGTCACTTTCACATGATTGTCTACCATGCTTAAGCTCAGCACACCACTTCTCCACTATTGAATCTGCTGGAGCAATCTTCCCTAATGTTGCTTTCGTGCCCTGGTGGAATTTTTGCGATGTCATTTTCTTTTCAACAAAATATTTGATCGCGGCACAAAGTTCGATCTTCTCCAAGACGTTTAACACTTCTCACTTCTTTATTTCAAAAATCTGAAACACAAAACTTCTTAAACTATATGTTACGTGTTCTTTACTCATAAATAGTTCAAACTTAATATATTTAAGAAACAAATCATACATTCCACTTTTTTTAGGTCGAACCACGAACTTTTCGGACAATCTCGCAGTATCAGTAACTTCTTCAAAGTATCATTATGGGTCTCAGAGTGTCAGTATGTTTCTCATTGTATCAATACGTTCCTCATTGTGTCAATATGTTCGTTAATGTGTCAGTATGTCCGTCATTGTGTCAGTATGCTCTTCCTACTGTAAGTATGTTCTTCCTAGCATCAGTATGTTAATCAGCATAATGTCAGTATATAAGAACCTACAGTTAAAAAACGTATATCCTTCATAACTTTTTCGGAAACAAACTCTACTGTGATTTAATACATTAAAAACAATCATATAAAAACCTTTTATTTCCCTGGCCAACCAACAAATACATGTAAAGAGTGGAATAGATGTAATTCATTCTTTACTTGTAAAAAACATTTGTAATATAGAATTTAGGTGTTTTTAGTTCAAAATAAATTGGAATGTTTTTAGTTGTTGTATTTGTGATTTTTGTTCTTCGGAACAACATAGACATTTTTGTAGTATAATTCACAATTGTGAGAATTCTTTAAACATTCATCAGTTTCCAACGTCTTAGTTACCTTAAAGAACATCCTTTGATTCCAACAGATAATTGTTGTCTTAGCTACCTTACAGAACATCCTCTGATTTCAATAAAGTATTGTTGTCTTAGTTACTTACAGAACATCCTCTGATATCAGTAAATTATTGTTGTCTTAGTTATCTTAAAGAACATCCATTGATTCCAACAGATTATAGTTGTCTTAATTACCTTATAGAATATCCTATGATTCCAACAGAGTATTGTTGTCTTATTTACCTTACAGAATATCCTTTGTTTACAGTTCAAAGAAATAACCAGACGTAATGAGTTCATGTTTCACTCAATTCACGTCTCTGCGTGAGTTTTAGTTATAAACTATATCTTAAAAATTTCGGGTTTTTCATTAACTCCCAGGAAAAGTGAATAACACAAAGTAAAAATCACCATCGGTCAGTTGACATGCATGTCCATCACAGCTGTGTTATAACAGCTATTAATGTATTGTAACGCCAGGTGAACCATCGGTCAGTTAATATGAATTTCCATCACAGCTGTGTTATAACAGCTATTAGTGTATTGTACCGCTAGGTGAACCATCGGTTAGTTGACATGTATGTCCATCACAGCTGTGTTATAACAGCTATTAGCGTATTGTACTGCTAAGTGAATCATCGGTGAGTTGACATGAATGTCCATCACAGCTGTGTTATAACAATGATTAGTGTATTGTACCGCTAGGTGAATCATCGGTCAGTTCACATGAATGTCCATCACAGTTGTGTTATAACAATGATTAGTATTGGTGAAAGATAGCTTGTCTTCTAAACTTTAATGTTAAAAGAACGAATTATTCGAGTGAATTATTGACAACAGTTAGTAATTACAGTAATGATTGTGATATTTGCTTTGAACTAAATAAAACAAACCAGTAGTATTGAAGATGATGAATTACTGAATAAAAAAGTACTGGGCAACAGTTGAAGATGGTTTCTAACACTGTGTGCACCATGTGTTGTTGCTATGAGTTTGTAGCTTTAGTGTGTTTTTCCGGCAGTAAATATGAATGTAAAACTATAACTGTATTAAGCAGTTGCTGGTAAAAACAATATATCAATAAGTTCTTACTTGTGGTTATGCGGCAAAATCCTCAACTTCTATAAAATAACCCCGGAATAACTATTCTAATACTTTTCTGTCATTCATTTATTTATCTTACTTTTCATAGATAAAATTGGGATTATTGCTTTTTCTACTAAATCAATAGTAGTAATATAATTTTCCGGAAAATAATAGTAACAATAAATAAATATATTCGGCTGACAGTTTTTGTGCAAAGATTTAATAAAATAAGTTGACTACTCCAACGATTTAAAATGCACATTAATTTACTGTATAAAGCTAGAAGCAATAAAAACTCTACATGTTTCGGTCAAACATCCTTCTAGTGAGCGTTTTTCAGCACTAGTTTCAGAGGGAGAGACTTTCTCTCTTTCAAATCGAATATCCAATGTTGGATTAAACTGAATTTTATTTACTGTGTATGAAAGGAGTTTTGAAGAATGTAAATTTCGATGTTTCCAGATGGCTGTGAGAACAAGAGATGCGAGTACAACGCTGTATGTGAAAGTGACGGAAATGGAAATGCCAAGTGTGTTTGTCCCGAGACATGTGTTCAGGTACGAATTGTTGTTATATCCTAGACGTTTTAAACAGCACAGCACCGTGATTTAAGCAGTCTCAACATGGTTTAATTGGTGTTATCATGACTTAAACAGTCTCAACGTGGCTTAATTAGTGTTATCATGATTTAGACAGCCTGAATATGGTGTAATCTGTGGTAACATGAGTTAAACAGACTGAACCTAGTTTAATCTGTGTTATCGTGATTTAAACAGTCCCAACTTTCTTTAATCTGTGTTATCATGATTTGAACAGTCTCAACGTGGTTTAATCTGTGTTATCATGATTTTAACAGTTTAATCCTAGTTTAATTGGTTTTATCATCATTTAAACAGTCTCAACTATGTTTAATCTGTGTTATCGTGATTTTAACAGTTTCACCATAGTTTGATCGGTGTTATCATGATTTTAACAGTTTCACCATAGTTTGATCTCTGTTACCATGATTTTAACAGTCTCAACATGGTTTAATCGGTGTTATCATTATTTTAACAGTTTCACCATAGTTTATCGGTGTTATCATTATTTTAACAGTTTAACCATAGTTTCATCGGTGTTATCATGATTTTAACAATTTAACCATGGTTTATCGGTGTTATCATTATTTTAACAGTTTCACCATAGTTTAATCGGTGTTATAATGATTTTAACAGTTTAACCATAATTTAATCGATTTCATCGTGATTTTAACTGTTTCACCACAGTTTAATTGGTGTTATCATGATTTTAACAGTTTCACCATAGTTTAATCGGTGTTATCATGATTTTAACAATTTAACTATAGTTTAATCGGTGTTATCAAGATTTATACATCCTGAACATGGTTTAATCTGTGTTATCTTGATTTAAAGAGACTGAATATTGTTTAATCTGTGTTATCATGATTTAAACAGTCTCAAAGTGGCTTAATCGGTGTTATCATGACTTAAACAACCTGAATATGGTTTAATCTGTGTTATCATGATTTTAACATTCCCAACTTTGTTTAATCGGTGTTATCATTATTTTAACAGCTTCACCATAGTTCAATCGGTGTTGTCATGATTGTAACAGTTTCACCGTATTTTAATCGGTGTTATCATGGTTTTAACAGTTTCATCATATTTTAATCGATGTTATCTTGATTTTAACAGTTTCACCATATTTTAATCGGTGTTGTCATGATTGTAACAGTTTCACCATAGATTAATCGTTGTTATCATGATTTTAACAGCTTCACCATAGTTCAATCGGTGTTGACATGATTGTAACAGTTACACCATAGATTAATCGTTGTTATCATGATTTTAACAATTTAACCATAGTTCAATCAGTGTTGTCATGATTGTAACAGTTTCACCGTATTTTAATCGGTGTTATCATGGTTTTAACAGTTTCACCATATTTTAATCGGTGTTATCATGGTTTAATCAGTGTTATCATGATTTTAACAGTTTCAGCATATTTTAATCGGTGTTATCATGATTTTGACAGTCTCAACATGGTTTTATCTGTGTTACCATGATTTTAACAGTTTCACTATAATTTAATCGCTGTCATCATGATTTTAAGTGTCTTGGTCAATTTAATCTGTCTCTTACTGATTTAAAGATTTGGATTATTCTTTAAACAGAGTAATTTTATTTCAAACAGTGGAATGAATATATAAATAATATCTGTAACGATATGTTATGTTAAATCCATTTGACTCAGTGTTGCGTCTGATGTTTTCAGTGTATTGTTCATATAAAGTTTAAAATCACTGTCTTTTATATTTTCCTAAACGTTTCTCAGTGGAGCCAAGCGTATAACCATCATTGTGATAGGAATATAAAGGATATATTCATTTTCATAGTTTAGAAATACTTACAGTAGCCTCTTCACCCACTGAAGCAAAACTACTTATGAAAGAAAGATTCTTTACTAACTACAGAAAATATTTATCCTTTATGTGACATATAGAAAAAATTAAATATCTACTTAAAAGATATGTTTTTTTTATATTGTAGTGATTAGTAAAACATATATATTCTTCTACAGTGAACAATTTCGATTCAAAGTGTTTTTTTGTTTTATTTTTGGTTTCTGCTATTATTTTCCGTAGACGATTTCGTTGAAAGTTATATGAATTTTTGTTTATTAGCACAGTGTTGAGATTAAGTCGTGCTTTGTTATTCAAGAGATACAGTGTGCTGAATACGATATAATAAAACAATTTTGAATATGCAAATCAGCAAGTCACGTGAAAACCACAGTAAAATAAAGACACAGTGAAACTGTATGTACATATTTATAATAGAGACGGCTGGTATGATGTTAAAAAACTTTTGTTTAAAAACACAAAACAAGCAGCAACGTTTCGACCTCCTTAGATCATCACCATCACCAAACTCCATTGCTACTCTTTACCAACGACTGAAAAGGCGAGCATATTCAGTGGCAGGATTAAAACCCATGCCCCGCAGATTGCGAGTCGAACGACCTAACTACCAGGCCATGTCAGGCCTGGTATTCATGTAATTTCACACAAAGACATACCAGTCAAGTCGTTGGACACATCTCCTGTAGATATCCGCACGATCGGACTATTGAAACTATTGCTGGAAAAACATCGTTCTGGTGTACATGATGGCTTATGGAAAACATGAAGGGTAGTGGGGTCTACTTTGGACATCACAGCACTACAACTGAGTCTTCTCTAATGTAAATTATAATGCAGGGCTTTTGTTAAGATGTACGGTCGTCAGATAGAGCATGGCCGAATGTGACGACTGGATTGTTGCGACGTAGTGACACTCGAAAATCATTTACATATAATGTACCAAATTTCTGTAGTTTCAGTTGAAAATTTGTTCAGGTTTTCTTATGGTTCAATGATTCGTTTGATTTGTGAGTACTGCGTTCAGTGGATAGATTTCTTGTAAAGATGACTGACATTTTTATGTGTTGATTAGTGTGAGTTATAGTAATTCGCTCAATGGATACTTTCAGTATCTTAGTTGATTTCATTTGTTTCAGTAATTTACTTAAGGTACGATTCCTCATTAACTGGATAATTTCAGTTGAAAGTTAATTAGTTTTTTAGTTATTTTTTTGAGTTATGACTATTGGTAGCTTCACTTCCAAATCAGCTGAGTTTTTAGTAATTAACTTTAATTATGTTTATGGATAATCTCAGTTCAAACTAATTTACTTTCAAACTAATTTCAAACTATTATATATGGGTAGTTTCAGTACCAAGCTGGTGCATTTTTTAGTATTTGGTTTATATCTATGGGTAGTTTCAGTACCAAGCTGGTGCATTTTTTAGTATTTGATTTATATCTATGGGTAGTTTCAGTACCAAGCTGGTGCATTTTTTAGTATTTGATTTATATCTATGGGTAGTTTCAGTAACAAGCTGGTGCATTTTTTAGTATCTGATTTATGTCTATGGGTAGTTTCAGCACCAAGCTGGTGCATGTTTTAATATTCCAACTTAAATTTTAACTATCGGTAGTTTCAGTTCACTAAAATATGCATTTGAGGAAGGAAAATATGATTATTTTGTTTTTGACAAAAGTTAAAAATCAAAAGTATTATAGCTTAACGTATTTGAAAATATCGATTTACTACAAATATATTATAATTGTATTTACAGAAGGAAACAATATAAGTTCAGTTGTTGTGAATTACCATAAGGATTAAAATAACGTTACAATTGCTTACGTTTTAAACATTGTAACACAGATATCTATTTGTTATTTTATATCAAATTATTATTTAGCAACTCAAGTAAATTCCAGAGCCTAAGCAGGTATGTTATGATTAATAATAAATAATATCATAGAGCGATAAATATATAAGATCAAGGTTAATGATATTCGAAACAACTGATGATTTTCACGATATGTAAAGAACGTTCGGCTCCTGGTAGCTTAGCAGTAAGCTCGAAGACTTACAGCCCTAAAATTCAAGGTTCAATCCTTGCGATTGGCACAGCACTGTAAGGCTATTGTGCAGCTTTGCAGTTTGTTTTGAGACGCAGCTTTTTACTTGACAAAAAGTTTAATTATACACAGAAACAAGGTAAAAACATTAGGCTTAAATGTAGCTAATCATACCTTATTTTAGCCGTATTTTTGGAAAATGAAAATTGAAACGGAAGTCATTATAAAAGAAGGGATTTTTTAGCAAACCAGTGCTAAATTTAGAGAAATGCTATGACGTGAAAATACTGACTCGTGCAAGATTACCACATTTATATCAGTATTACATTTCAAATAGATGGTATGATAAAGTAAATCTCGAGAATAAATTTAATTTAAAACCACGTTGTGATGTGTCATATGTTCTCAAACTTTACTTGTATAGTTTAAAAGGTTATTTACTTAACAATTTGTTTAGCTTACAAAGGTTATTTACGTAACAGTTTTTTTAGCTTACAAAGGTCATTTACGTAACATTTTTTAGCTTACAAAGGTTATTTACGTAACATTTTGTTTAGTTTACAAAGATTATTTACGTAACAGTTTGTTTAGTTTACAAAGGTTATTTATGTAACAGTTTGTTTAGCTTGTATAACATGAGAAACCGCGAGCACAAATATTGTGACAAAAGCCATCCACGTGCCCCAGGCAACAACAGACAACATAATGAAGAATGGTCCCCTTCAGGAAAAGCGACACAAGAACACATGTACCCAAGTTGCTCTCACGACACAACTGTTCAAACGTCGAATACCTCAAGGAGCTGGAGAATGAAATGAGTGCTCATGCAATTAGATATGAAGACATACCTGTCAAGTCTCCTGTAGCTTTCTGTACGATCAGACTGTTGGAACGAACGCTGGGGACAGCAGCCCTTATATACTTATGGAGAGCAATGAGAGAGTAAGAGCGTTCTTTGAACATGACAACCTTACGATGAAACCTTTTGGAACGGAACATACGCCACAGTGCTATTATCAAAATGCACGGTCGTCAGACAGGGCATGACCAGACGTGGCGACATGGACTGTTACGACTTGGCGAACCGAATAAAAAAAAACATTTTAATATAATGTACTCAAGTTCTGTGTATGTATATAGTAACTTTGTTACTTTATAAAACCGTTTGTTGATTTACAAATGTTTTTGTAAGAGCCATTTTAGTTACTAAAGGTTACTTATGTGATATTGATTTTTTTAACATAAAGTACCCAGAGAAACACTTCTTTTACAGACAGCTTCTGTGTCGTGTCTATTTTGAAAATACATATTTTTGTAATTATAAATGTCATTTCGTTGCCTACTGCTGATTTTCCAATAAAAGTTTTGGATACAACTGCAATATCTGAACCGACCACAAAATAAAAATATATTTACGATAAACCAGCGGTGACATACATGCTAAACAAAGTCAGCCATCACTGGTACTTAGCTTTAGACCCAACTGATATGGCTGCGTGATATCAGTTATGTTTACTGTCTTGGCTAACATAAAATATCTGTAGTGTAGACATGTTTGTTTTAATTGTTGTAAAGGGAAAAAAAAGAAAATAACTCAAATATTGTTGTTGTTTTTTCACCATACGTTCATAAAAAATAGATTTTTTGAAAATATAAACAAAACCAGAGGACATAAACATTATTAGTACATTGCTTTATATTTATTGAAAATTTATACAAAGGGTTAATAATTCATTCTAACTAAAAACCTGCACTAGAACTAAAACACACGTATTTTAAAAATGTCTTAAGAATTAGATGGTAATAAAACGATTGTTTAGCCATTTATATCATTAAAGAAATTTGTAAAAATATTAACCAACAATAAGCTAACAATATAGATTAGGCCTAGGAAGGTAGCTTGTAAACTAAAGAAGCTAATTCTGTATAAAAGACATAGGTAATGACCGTCATAAGTTAATACACAAGACAACTAAAATTTACGATGATTCACGTGCATGGAACCATTAATTCTCTTCGCTGATAACGATATCTTCGGCCATAATCCCAAAAATGTACCGTGAATCAGGGCAAGGTCGAGAGGCTTAAGCTAGTCCTTAGTCTGTATCATAAATTAATTGTGCAAACTAATCTTTATGAATGTAATAAATGATGACTATTATATCCAGTAATATTAATGAAATAGATTTAAGTTGCAATTCTTAAGTTTCAAAACAATCTAAGGCGAACTTCAAATTTAAAACTTAAATAATACTTATATTTAAATTATGTTATAGATAAATATGTATATATATATATATATATAGATTTGAAAACTTTAACATTTACTAACTTAGTAGGTTATATATGCATCTTAATATGAATCACAGTGATTCTTAAACACCCTATACTGTTTTCCTAAACTATCAATATCAACTGTTGTGTCTCATTCATTCTTAGAGTGTCGAAGATTTTCGATTTAAATTATGATTTTATTTGCAAAACCAATAAGTTCTATTACACGACAATACGGTTGCTTTCAAAATGATTCATTTTACATTTCAAAGGTACATTATAATAATGACAATAAACCTATAAGGGATGATGGAATTAAAAGTGATTTCTAGTTAGAGTCGCCAGTGTGCGGAGATGACGGCGAGACGTACGACAATGAATGTCTTCTGAAGGTGGCATCTTGCAACAAGAAGAAAAACATAAAAGTCGTGTCTAAAGGCCCGTGTGGTAAGTTTCAAACCCCTAGAATATGGTGTTCAGTCATTAACATAGTCTGTTTGATATTCAGGTAAACAGATTTAATATTAGTGAATATTTATAACAGCGTATAAAGTAAACAAGCGATATATACGACGTTAAATAAAGTATTTTTAATTTGATTATAATTTTTTTTATTATATCAGTATCATAATAATAGAAGTTCACAAATCGACAAGAGAATGAAACTATAAAGTTGTTCATAATTGTTAATTAAAGTATCAAATATGTACTATTAACTTATTGCATCATCTGTTTTAAATATTTTATCTAATACACTTGCATATGTTGTTTATATTTCAATTTTGTATATTAATTACCTTCTTTCTTTCTTTCTTTACCCTTTTTTGGATATAGTTTTATTGTACTTATATTTTTAATATTTAACATGCATGTTGTTATTTTCTTAGCACAAAGCTACACAATGAGCTATCTGAAATGAAACCCCGATTTTAGCGTAAGCAATTTGTAGTACACTTTAATAATTATTTTTTCCTTTGGACAGTTCATGTTATTTAACATCCAAAGCCTGATTTATTAAGAAACGTTTCTCATATCAACAAAGTATAATAGAACACAATGGACCTTAACATACATTCTTACTTATTTAAACGCCCCCCAGTAGCACAGCGGTATGTCTGCGGACTTACAACGCTAGAAACCGGGTTTCGATACCCGTGGTGGGCAGAGCACAGATAGCCCTTGTGTAGCTTTGTGCATAATTAAAAATAATAATAAACAAACTTATTTAAGCCTGATGTATGTTTTCGGCCTCATTTATTCTAGCCTGATGTATGATATCAGGCTTAATTATCCAAATCAGATTTATATTTCTGGGCTTACTCATTTAAACCTGGTGTATGTATCCCTGCTTACTTATTAGGAATTATACACATAATTGTCTCTGGAGGAGTTTTCTTCAGGTAGATGATGAAGAGAACCTGCTGATGGTTCCATCATTGATGATACATTGAAAGAACTTCAGCAAGCTCACCTTTCTTCTGGTGAATTTCACCGTGAAGCTATCCAGTTAGCCATTTTCTCGTCAATACTAGAAAAATAATTGTAGTGTGTTATATTTGGCCTGGACTGATGTGGATTCTATAAAACATGTCGTTTGCTCTTTCAACTACATTATTGGGTCCTGTCCTTAACTTCGGAGCTCATCCTTTCTTGTGACATGGATTGTATAGTCGTTCAATACCAATTGAAGTTTAATGTTATCAGCATTAACATCATATTGACTGTTCATCTTATTGGTATTTGATTTAAGTTTTTCTCGGGTAAAGTCATGTATGGCATGGACTGGTGGCTAGAGAGCTCGACTCGCAATCTGAGGGTTCGAATCCCCGTCGACGAATGTGTTCGTCCTATATAGTTGCCACCCGATCGTAAATATTCCTGGTTTACAAAAATGCCGACCGACTCAAACTAGTTTGGATTAAGGTCGTAACGGGAAAAAATGTATTATGTGTTACAAGGAGGACCGAGCATATCAACAACACCTATCTCAAGTGATGATTCAACACAGTACTACTGAAGTAGCCCTTGTTGTTTTCTTCTTTGACCTTTTTGCTCATTGCACAGTTAACACAATTTAAACCAATCCTCTACAGGTTTCTAGCACCCAACTGGGAAGAAGTGTTTGTTCTGTTATCCTCTCCAGGTCTTCTTGGCACTAAGTGCCCAGCTTTTGGAACGTTATGGAGATGACGAGTGGTTCTGGTTGTAGTGATTGTGGAAGTACCAACTGTATTACTTGTTGCTGCCGACTGGGTGAGGAGTGGTTCTGGTTGTAGTGTATGTGGAAGTACAACTGTATTCCTTGTTTCTGCCGATTGGATGAGGAGTGGTTCTTTTTGTAGCGATTGTGAAGTACCAACTGTATTCCTTGTTTCTGTCCACTGGGTGAGGACTGGTTCTGGTTGTAGTGATTGTGGAAGCACCGACTGTATTCCTTGTGTTTGTGCAATGGGTGAGGAGTGGTTTTGATTGTAGCGATTGTGGAAGTACCAACTGCATTCCTTGTTTCTGTACAATGGAAGAGGAGTGGTTCTGGTTATAGTGATTGTGGAACTACATCTGTATTCCTTGTTTCTGTCTACTGGGTGAGGAGTAGTTCTGATTGTAGTGATTGTGGAAGTACAAACTGTATTCCTTGTTTCTATCTACTGGGTGAGGAGTGATTCTGATTGTAGTGATTGTGGAAGTACCAACTTCATTCCTTGTTTCTGTCCACTGGGTGAGGACTGGTTCTGGTTGTAGTGATTGTGGAAGCACCGACTGCATTCCTTGTGTTTGTGCAATGGGTGAGGAGTGGTTCTGGTTGTAGTGATTGTGGAAGTACCAACTGTATTCCTTGTTTCTGTCCACTGTTATCGTCCTATCTCCGGCTCTCTTGACACTATAAGTAATCTCACTGTTTTATTCAATTTGTTTTGTTGGAACTTGTGTATTTTCATTCCTTCCATTTCTTAGCATAGGCCTTATTGTAAGCATAACAAATCTCATTGTTCCTAGTTCATTATTTTCTTCAGTCTATATTGAGTCACTCTCTTCTGTGAGGTTTTTTCTGTACCATTCCTGGTCTACTGAGTACTCATTTTATTTCTCAGAACATCTTTCAGCAGCTTTCACTGATGTGTCATCTTACATTCTGCTCTGTTGTGTTTGGTTGTTGTCTTTATTATCTAGTGTTTCCTTCTTGTCAAGGCGCTCATATTGTCTGGTAATATAAAGTCTTCAGAGTAATATATCAGCATTTTCTTGGATATATTCAAGACGATCACAATGTTTAATTGTACTTCTAAAGTTTTTGCAGCCATCTTTCTGTGTGACCTTGTGGATTGTGTAAATTCTTCAGTGAACACGATGCAACATGTTCTGTCTGGAGTGTACAGTTTTGTCGATTTAAGTAGTTTTGACTTGTAACATATCCTTTCTGTAGAATTAATTGCCTAAATATAGTAGTCAATAATATTTTCTTTCTCCAACTGTACTTTTTGGTAATACAGCTCTTACTGTAAAGTATCTTGTGTCAGTATCTGATATGAGAGGTCATTTAAAGAGTTGGGCATGCTGATATTGGAGTAATGGTTTTTCTAGTAGTGCAGAGAACAAGCAATGCCAGAGAATGATTTTACAAACTGATGAGCTTAGGAGCACAATTCGAGAAATCATCTTACTTCACATAGATTCTATGAACAAATTCAGTCTTTTCTGGTTCATTCCATATACTCTCGCTCCATCCAAGCAGTGTGCTGGAGTTTGTGGTAGGGCAAATAGGATTTTAGGTTGTATCTACAGAAATATTGAATACAAGTCTAAAGAGGTTATAATTTCATTGCATAGGTTACTGGTTAGGCCAAATTTGGAGTATTGTGTTCAGTCTTGGCTCTTTACCTATGTAAAGACAATGAATTGCTGGAAATGGTTCAGAAAAGGATTACTAGAATGGTGCCTTGGATGGAGGGGTTATCATATGAGGAGAGGTTGAAATCTCTCAAATTGTTTTATCTTGAAAAACGAAGAGATGTGGAGGATTTGATTGAGGTGTTTAAGATTGTAAAGGGAATTGATAATGTTTACGTATCATCTTTTTTTATACTTAACAGTGAGAATAGTAGGACTAGGGGACACAAATATAAATTTGGGCAAGGAAGGAGTCATCTTCAGCTAAGACAGTTTTACTTTTCTAACAGGGTAGTTGGCTTTTGGAATGAGTTGCCTTCAGGTGTTGTAGAGGCAGCAAATTTAAGTGAGTTTAAGAAAAAGTTTGATAAGTTTATGAGTGATATGGACTGACTTTAAATTTTTGTATAAAATTATTTATTAATAGTTTTAGTTTAGTTTAGAAAATGGAACATCCGAGATGGACCAATAGGTCCCATGTTGTCCCAGAGCATTATTTCATGTAATGTTATGTTACTCGAGAGCTATCTACGCAAGCCGTCCATAATTTAGAAGTGATAAACTAGAGCTAAGGCAGCTAGTCAACACTGCCCACCGCCAATTCTTGGAATATTACTATAGAAAAGTGGGATTGACTGTCAGATTATGAAATCCCCACAGCTGAAAGGGCGTGTATGTTTGGTGATGGGCTATGAACTCAAGACCAAAAGATTGCGAGTGGAGCGCCCTAACCTTCTCAGAAAAAGCTTCTGTTTTTGATTGTATCCCAGTTAATGAATTTAAAGTTGTTCCTATCAAGTTCAGGTATAAGTATCTCACTCCTTCGTGCTTGTTCTCATTGTCACTGGAAGTCCAACCTCTGGTGTAGTATTTGTCATGCAGTTTACAAAGCTAGCATAATCAGAAGTTGTGAAATTATTGAAACATGTTAAACCAAACTTCCATGTTCGCTCTTCCTCAAGATCAATTATCAACATCTGATGTTCAATACAGAAGCTTCAGGCATTGAGGATGACTTGCAACTTGCTATAATCATGTGAACACTTGCTGTTCACGTCAGTCCACGTACAGTTTCATATGTGTAGGCTAATTTTCCATCTTTTGTTACTGGATCTGGTCAACGGAAGATGAAAATATTGTGTTACTTTTATAGAATATTCCTCCAAGACTTTCTCCACAAGTGTCACACTTTACTAGACAGTTGCTGCCCATTCCACCTTTGTTCATCATGAAAACCCTGCCTAAATCAACTATCAAAGAAAGACTCGAATTCAGTTTAGTGACATAGTATGGCTGTATAATTCCTGCCACAAGAAATGACGAAATCTTAAGTTAATTAGACATTAGGAAGGACTACACGCTTTGATGATGTGGCTTATAGAATACAGAAGAATAGGCAGTCCAAGCAAAAGGTCATTCATCATCTTTAGAAGGACGTCAAAGAAAGAATAGCAAACTTATTACTTCCAAAGAATGTATTATCAAACGTAGAGGAAGCTGCTGAAGAAACAGAGGTTTTTGTCAAAGCGCCACTTTCAATGTATCACCAGGAATGGAAC